AATAAGTTAGATTTAAAAGGATCTTAGCTCAAAGTTACATAGTAAATTTATATGTTTTTTTAAAAATTTTAATTATAGACAACATTTTGACTCATTTTAAAAGGACATGTCCTGTATCTGCTAATACTAATTTACCAAAGCTTAATTACAAAATTAGTTGTATACAAAAAAATCATTTATGTAATTCAAGCTTATAATAATTATATAATTGCTTGTTTAAATTTTGATACTTTTTCAAAGATGTTAAGTAAATATATATTAATAATTATAAGACAATAGAAAAATTGAATTGTATGTTATATACTAGAAAAATTGAATAGAAAAAGATCAGAAATATATATAATGATGAACTGCCAAGTATATCAAAAAAGTGAAAAGGAAACTCAAACACATTTGACAAGCTGCATTAAACAAAAAAGCTTGTGAAAGAGAATCCAAAAGATAGCAATAACAACAACTTAGAACAGTCTTAAAAAAAATAAAAGAGTTAGAATTTTGTCTCTAGTATTATATAAGGTACTGTTTGAGAAAACAGAAACAGAAAAAATTACTAATAGAATGACTTTAATAAAAGAACTAACAATGAATGAGATTAGAAAAGGATCAGTCAGATTCTAGATAAACAGATAATACAGAAATACATAGATATAGTAACAAGAACAGTATAGAATATATTCTATAACTAAGTATAGAGAGTTCGATATAGAAAAGTATAATAATAGAAAATGAAGGTTAATATAACAAGCAAAATGAAAAAAAGATGCTTAAGTTAAAAGAAGATCAGAGAAAAAAAAAAAATAAGATAACAAAAAAAAAAGAAAAAAAAAAAGAAAGTAAAAAAAATGAACTGAATAAAAAATGAAGCTTAGAAGACAATTGATATGCTTGTCACAAAAAAGAGAAAACCTTTTTGATATGGTTTTAAGTAGTTAAATAAGCAGTTTATCTTTAACTGAGATAATGCAGCAGGTTGTATTTAGATACTAATAAGGTGACTGAGTGATGCTAGACTTGAGTATTGAGAAATTTTATATAATTATAAATGTAAATAGTTTTAAGAATCTTAATAAAATACTAGTATAACTGTTTAAGATTAAAAAAAAAAATTTATATATTATAGTTATAAACTTTTCTTATAAATAATTTTAGTAAGGTGTGATGCTCTAGTGAAGTGGTCAGGTTGTCAATCTTTCAAGTGGTAGGTTGGATATTCAAATCTCATTAATGACAAAAATTTAGATAATTACCTATATAATATTTGTATTATAGTAATTATTATTAATGATTAGGTTAGGATATCTGTAATAGTAGTTGCACTAGCATGATAGGCAGGTTATGAGGCATTTGTGTAAGTATGATATTATACAGAGAAATGCAAACCAACAAATTGAGTAATGCAAATACTAGATAAGTCCTTGTAGTTATATAAATCTGTTGAAATTGGGTAACAAAAAGTTCATTTGAGAAGATCTGAATAAAGAGGTAGCTAAATCTTCAACAGCTCTACTGTAAAGGCTAGCCTGTAGGGGTTTGCAAATGCCCATGCCAGGCACATCAGCACTATGCCAGGCACTAATGCCATTGGTCGTGCTGATGCCAATTTCTAAAAAGTGCTTGGCATTTTTGGGCCAGGAACCAGATGTCAAGATCTATATTTATGTCTGTGTCACATAAATTTAGGCATGTTTTTATGTATATAGTAGCCCAATACAAATAACAAATTTTATATATTAAATAAAAAAATACTATAAAAGTGCATAAAAAGACTCAGGTCATTTATTCCACCAATTTTTAAACCCTTTAATAGACTTTAGGTTTAGTATACTAAGCAGTTTGGCTTTTTGAAAAAAAAGCTATAGGTATTTAATTAATATTTTCTAGGCATAATTTATGATAAACTTACTATTTTAGGATTATACACACTCTTATAGTACTTATAAAATTATATAAAAAACAGATTCAAAAAATTTTGAACATTGCTGTAAATATATATGTTCAATTTATACTTAAAATTGAACTTCGATTTTTATATTGAAATTTAATTTCCCAAAAACCTTGACTAAAATTTATATTACTAGTGTTAATCTGCAGTTTCACTACAAAAAATCTACTTAGAAATATATAATTTAAGTTATTGCATTGGGGCTAGAGTCACAGTGTGGTATAGTTCCTATTGTGTAATTTCATAAATCAATAAATGTTAAATTGTGTTAAATTAATCCAAACAAAAATAATACATATATATATATATATAAGAAATCCAGATGCTATTGAGAAAATCGAGATTAACAAGAAACATAAAGATAAAATAGGGCACAATTGTTCTCCAAAAAGAAAAATTAAATAAGGTATATATGTACATACATACATATGTATGTATAACAAAATAATCATATAATAATAGTGATCACCAAAAGTACAAGTCTTATATATTATATGCATATAATAATATGTACATATGTACATAATTATTGATATTGAGTAATTTATTGTGTATAATTATTTACTGCATATTATAGACTTTATAGACTTTATATAATCAACAATATAAAAAAAATTTTTTTAATATTTTATATTTTAAGCTAGCTTTATTAATTTTATAAAACTTGCAAAATTTCATAATATACAAATTTATATATAGTAAATTGCTTGTAATTATTTTATTCCTGGAAAATCATTGAGAAGACTAAATTCATTTTGACTCTCTAAAAACTATGAATGCATAAGTATTATAGAAGAGACTGTTTTTTCATTTAGACTCACCCTATCACTAGTGACTATAAAGTCTGCTCTTGAAAAAGCCTATTCACTTGCAATATTTAAGGGCTGAATACAAAGGTAATCATATGCCATCTTACTAAGAATTGGAAATCTTTTTGATAATGATTTTCAGCAAGCAAGTCCATTATTTTCATTTTCATTTTTAGTCTTTTCAGAAGGTTTTCTTTTATATAACATTAATTCATAACCAATTGTATTAGTTTCATAGGAAGGTTTTTTTAATATTTGCCTTTTAGGAAATAATGAATTAGATGTATAATTGTTTTAATTAATTTTAACAACTTCAATTAAGAATGATTGTATATCAGTATTTATATATCTTGCTCCATATTTGATTATATTTTGTCGAATGCTTTCAATATATTGTTCAGCAGCAAATTCACTATATTTATTGACCTCGATTAATATTGCTTTCAAATGTTCTATCTTGTATCTCAGATTAAGCATATGTGCGATTATAATATGATCAATTATTTTATTTCAGTATTTATTAAATTTTTTTGTTATTAACTGTATTGCATTATTATTATATCTAACCTTATGAATATGTTATAAAATTTCTAATATTACTGTTAGTGCATCAGATATCGAATTTGATCTGTTCTTTGAAAGAACTAAGATAGCAATTTCGAATAGTTTAAGAAGTTGACATATTGATTCAAGCTCTATTAATTCCTTTTGTTCTAAACAAGGTAACATTGATAATTCTTTTAAACACATTTCACTAATTGCTAAATGCAAAAAAATATATCTTTAAAATATTGCTAATGCCAAATTCTACTAAGTATTGATTTCAAGAATTAGATATAAGAAATTTATTCGAGCAACATGACAATATGAATCTAATAATTCCAACTGCCCACTAGCCAAGGGATTTGCCAAATATTTTATTATATTATGTACCTTTTTATGAAGTTCACTTATCTTTGTTAATCTAGCTTTAATGATTAAATTTAAAATATAACACATATACCCAATTGATATAATATTGTTATTAGGTAATTTACTTTAAATAATTTGGCTTATGGCCTTGTTAGTAGTGGTATTATCCATAGTAATAGCAAAAACTTTTTCTTTAATATTATAATTTTTTAATATTTCAATTATTACAGATGTTATATTATTAGCTATCTGTCCCAATTTTTGAAAGCTTAAAATAATATTAGCTATTTTTCAACCATGACTTATCCATAATGCTGTGACAACTATATAATGACATCTATGAACAGTTGAATGCCAACTACTGCAGGTCAAAGAAATTTTATTTGAAGTTTTTACTAAAATATCTTTGATGAATTCTAATCTTGTATTAAATAAATTGCCAGATAAATGTTACAATACTGTTGTTGAATGTGGAATTTTATAAGAATAAGTTATACGATAAAGTTTTCTTGCCATTTTGTGAAATAATGGATTATCTACAATATTAAATGATATTCTTGTCCCGATAATTAAATCAACTAACGAACTATCCATATTTTCTTTTGTTACGGGTTTAGTTTCATTATCTTGATTATATGAAGAATTGCTAGAACAAAATAAGGTATGATTTTTTAGGTGTGACTTGCTTATAGAATATGAATATACTTTGTCTTGACAGTATTGACATCTCCACGATTTTTTATTATTATGCATTACTTCTATCTAATGATCTTTGGTTTTATAGTTACTATTTAATTCTATTCTACTATCATTTTGCAAGATATCAGAACTAGAATCATTTTGTATTAAGGTATTTGAAGTGGAATCACTTTGTAATAAGTTATCCAAAACAAGATTATCAAAGTATATATCATCTATTAGAATGATAATATTGATGAAAAATGAACTAAAAGGTAAGAATAATAATATTTAGAAAAATAAATTGATATAAGATGAGAAATGTATGATCTAAAAGATAGTATTTGAGAGAATTTAAAATTTGAATGCTTTATTAATAATAAAATTTTTATTTTTTATAAAGTACAATTACAAATTCTAATGTTATAATTTTTACTTCATGTTCTAATAGAAAATAAAACAATTTGATCAAATATTACATATTTGTTTTACATAAATTACTTCATTTTTTATGCTTTAATAAAATGAACAAGAAATTTCAATTAATAATTCTAGTTTTTATTTTTTTACATCTATAAATTATATCAGTTTTTTGTGATTACTAATTTAGCTTTACATCATTTTTTATGCACTAAAAGAAATGAACTAATATTAATTTTGTACATCAAATTGGTTCTTGCTCTAGATAACTGAGGTACCTCTAATGTCAATTATTAGATGAGGTGCGTAACCTGTTAATTGATCACCAGAGGTGCTTTTAAGGCAAGCATATTAATATCTATATAATTTTTTATATAGGTTACATTAGGTGTAATATGATATTTTTAAAAGATCAATACAGTAATGCAAATTGTCTAAAAAAATGCTAATAAAAAGGTTGTTGCTTCAAAATAACACTAATTATAACCCTAATACTAAAATAAATTTTACAAAATATTGGAATATTGGAACAAATATAATGTTTACTCGAACATATTAAATATATGATTCTGACAAAATATTGTGTAAAGACTTTCAATTTAAAATGGGTATGTATAGAAAAGATTCCATCTGACATGAAGAAGGGTTAACTCTATTTTCTGTGGCCTAGCTAGATAACATATAATACTTATTGCAATTATGTAAAATTAAACATTCTACTTAAGATCTTAATTTTTGGAAGTTAAATCATTGTTGTATAACTGATTAAACATGTATATAACTAATTCATTATAAATTTGTAAAGTTTATCGAGTAAATGTTTATTTATGCAAGCTATTAATATTTGTAGCTTCGCTTTGCTATAAAATTTGAATTTGTTATATTATCAATACTAGGAATTCTTTATTATCAGAAGATGTGCTTTATTTATTTCAAAATATACAGTTTATATAAAATATTAAACAAAATCATGTCTCAGATTAATTTTGAATAAATAATCATAGTTGCTTCTGAGATGCCTCAGATAACAATTAAGGCACCTTGGGTCAAGCTATCTAGCAATTAACTTCTGAGATACCTTAGTTATCATCTAAGACAAGAACCAATCTGAGGCATAACATTAATATTCATTTCAATTAATTATTAATTTTATATAGTATTGATTTTATATACTGATAAAAAAAATAAGACAATATTGATCTAATTCATATTATCTATATTATTATGATATGTTATATATAGCTAATATTATTCTTTTACACCTCTGATTAATTAAAATATTTATAGATATGAATAATTTTAATAGAATGTATCAAGTTGGATATTGACAAAGAAATTTATATATACAAGCAAAAGTGGAATCCACTGATGCCTTTGTTAAATTCTTTAATATATTGTCAAACAATATCTGTTAGATTATATGTTCATAATTATATATAACAATTTGGATTACAAAGGTTTCAAACACTTGAATATATTAATTTAATACTATCAATGTTAACTTGAATGATAATTTTTTATTTAATTTGTTATTAATAACTTTGATATAAATTTAGCAAGTTATGTAAGTATCAAGTATTAATATTAGGCACTAGTGCCAGACATGTGCCAGACAAGTAATATCAAATATTAGTATATGCCAAGTACTAATATTAGTGCCAATGCTTAAAAAAGTGCCTGGCATATTTTAGTCTAGCACAAAGTGCATTTTTGTTTCATGTCTGGCACCATAAATTTTTTATTAAGCACAAGGCAAGTGCTGGGTTTGCAGATTCTTACTAGTCTAAAAAAACAGATACCAAGGTCATAGTACCCGATTATAGTAGCCGAATAGGCAAGAACCTTCAGGTTGGAAGTCTCAGAGGTACCACCAACCAGGTTGCCAGAATGAACCAAATGAAAAGGATATTGGGCTGATCTAATATACTGATGGACTAGTTGTAGTTCTACATGGGCTATCTGAATTGGAGTTTGGTAAAAAGGCAAGTAAAAAGACAGAAGTATACTAAAGTATCAGGATTATGCTGTAAAATAAATGCTGGAGTTTAAGTGAACTCTACAAGGGCATAACAGTTTAATGGTTAGCCCTAACCGCAAGTGTTAGTTCTGCCATAGTAATACCTAGATCAGCTGTAAAAATAAATACAGAAGGCTCTGAGAAGTTTACCTCAAGAATAAATTAGTTCTAAAGTTGAAATGATAATCTAGGCATTTGGATATGACTAGTGAGTTAACACAGGTTACAGATTTAGAGTGTTTAAAGTGAAACACCCAAGTAGAGATGTTAAATACAGCAATTGGTAATAAACCTTCAGATGGACTTCTTAAATAGGTAATATAGAAAAGTTACATGTGTAACCAATTGTACTCTCTTCTGTAGTAGTTCATTGAACCACAATACTGATAAGTAATTAATAAAAGTCAAAAAACCAAAGAGGTTATCTTAATACCAAAAAAAATAATAATAATAAATAAATAATTTTAGTAATTACATTTGAATGTTTTTAAAATTTTAATATTTAGAGTATTAAATTATGAAGATAATATAATAAAAGTGTTATGAAACCAAATTTTTGTATTTAAAAACAAAATTTTTTTTTGTTTAACTTACTGAATTTAGTTTTGTAATAATTACTTTTACTTATTTATTTTAAACCATTTTTATAAACAAACATATTTGTTATTTATTAATAAATATATATTGTTTGTTGCAAAATATATATTTGATTTTTATTTACTAGTAAAATAATATACAGTTTAACTTTTTTAATTTTGTTAAATTTAATGAATTATAATATTTAAAATTATTATTATAATAATAATAGTAAAACCTATTATGCTTAAAGTGAATGATAAGTTTGAGTTTTTAGAAAAATTTGAAGATGCTGTTAACTTTGCAGCCAAAATTAATAAATTTGATTTTTTAAAAAAGATAATAATTGTCGCGGATTATAGTGAGATTAGATTATGGTGAGATCCATGTGACTTGATCATGCAGATCGTATTATGTGATATGCAATGCTATTCCTGTAATTTCTGATGGTTTTTATTAGTTTTTTATTTCCTATTAAAAATTACTGCTACATGAACTTTTTATATAGGTTTACAATAGAAAATTTAATTGAATTAAAACAAGTCAAAATTTTTTAAAATTTCGCCAGATTGTTTTGTAAAAATATAGCTTTTATAAAAACATTTGAGATCAAGTAAGATCAATTTTGCCACCAACTTTTATTAGAAGTGATTCTGACAATGCTAGTATATAACACAAAGAAATTACATTAAATTTTTGGCATTTTAAAATGAAATAGCTAATAAAAATCTACAGTTTTTTTGATTAAAAGTTTCTAATTTCATGTGAGCAAGCTATAAAGTGTTAAATATGTATCAATTGGTCAATCAGTTTTACAAAAAAACCATAAGAGGTTAATCTTTAGTTTTAACCAATCAAATTTTGTTATTTAGCCAATAAAAACCAACTTCCATTATGCTGTATCTGATAAAATGTTTTGTTCCTGTACATACGCCTGTGTTTGAAATATTTTTCCAACCACACTGGAAGAATTAGTGGAAGGTTTACTTAAACCCAATTAATACAGTCATTTAAACTTTTATAAAAATACCACTGCGAAAAAAAAAAAAAAAAAAAAAATGGAAAAAAAACAAAGCCAAAAGAACCCGAAAGCATTTACTGTACAACGCTTACATGCACAAGAAGCAATTCTAAACATAAAACTAGTAAAAAAAAAAAAAAAAACCTCCTGTTGCCCAAGAACCCGAAAACATCAAGATTCAGAAACCTGAAAACACCCAAGAACCTAAGCGCTCACCATTTAACAAGTGTTGTACCACTACCAACCCATAAAAAAAAAAAAATCTAACTCTAAAAAACCAACAAAAGCCCTAACCCTAAAAAAAAAAAAAAAAAGCCCTAACCATAAACAAAGCCTTTCTAATTAAGCATGCTGTTAATTTCAAAGATTCCTAAAACAATAGGGGAATATCAAGAAATTGTCAACTTTCTTCTGTTAAAAACCATACCTGATGATATCCAACAGCATCCAAAAAAAAATTCAACTTTATTCGTCACTGCAAAATTCTTGAAGTCAACGAAAATAATTTTTTGTATCTTAAGCCAGTTGTTAAGAATGGTGTAGTTAAGTCGGAAAAATGCTGTATCATCCCCAAATATGATGCAGAAATGCGTGCTCTGATTTTTGCACATTTTTATGACCAAGTGAATCATCGTGAATATCATAAGACTTTTTCTGCGATTTCAGAGAGACATGTCGGAATCACCTAGGAAGAAGTAAAGGCATATATAAATGAATGTCCAGCTTGTGTTATAACCACCTCTATTAAAGAAAAAACTGATATAATACCTGTAATATCAACAGCACCGTGGCAGCATATTCAAATCGACTTGGTCAATTTTCATGATTTTGGTGAAATGAATGACGATTTTTTATAGTTGCTTACATGTGTATGCATATTTTCTAAGTTTCTTGTTGCTGTCCCCATGAAAAATAAAGAAGCAAGTACAGTTGCAACACATCTTATTAAAGATGTTTTTAAGATTCTTGGGCCGCCTGTAATCCTTCAAAGTGATAATGATAAGGAATTCGTTGCAGGAATTATCACTCAAATATATAGGGCTCTAAATATTACAATTAGGCATGGTCAGCCTCGTCACCCCCAGTCGCAAGGTCAAATTGAGTAACTTAACCAAACTATGGGCTGTGGTTTTACTAAGTTGCTTTGGGATGAAAATAGCCAACTGCAAAGAAAAGACTGGATTAATATAATCGATGTATTTGTTACATCATATAATTCGACCGTCCACAGAGCACATGGCTATACACAATATGCAGCAATTTTTGGATGGAAGATGCATTGCGTTTACGATACTTTCAATATAGTCGGTTTGTATAATTTGTTTATTCTTGATACTATAACTAGAATTTGGTTTAGTGTTTTTTAGGATTAGAGTACTTTAACTAGAAGTTAGTTTGTTTGTCATAGTTAAGTTTGAATTTGGATTAGAAATTAGTTTGATATTAGAGTTATGGTACTTTTTTAGAATTACTAAACATATAAGTTGTCTTGTTATAGCAGGTATACCTAATGAATATGTCTCTGAAACTACCAACATTGCCTCTGAAACCACCACCACTGTTTTTGAAACCACCACCACTGTCTTTGAAACCACCACTACTTCTGAAATTACCATCGTCTCTGAAACCACCACCACTTCTGAAACTACTACCGCCTCTGAAACCACCACCTCTGAAATCACTACCACTACCGCATCTAAAACCATCATCGCCCCTGAAGCTATCACCTCTGAAGCTGCTATGGAACAACATATTTCACAAATATTGGAAATTCAAAAATCCATAAATACTTCACTTGAAAAATACTGTGCAAATATATACCGACAGAAGAGCATCTATAAAAAAAAACAGCAAACAATATGATCGAAGCCAGAACTGCAGTTGCCATTGCACCAGATCACGATATGAATCAACAAACACGAAAGAGAAAATTGCAGCCTACCTATTCCTAGCAAGGTGTTTTTAAGTCACTCATGTCCAATAATCATACTGTGATTATTGAATTAAATAGCAAGAATACATGGGTTCCTATTAAATAGGTCAAGCCTATATGAAAAAGGTCATAATTTTGAGAGGTTATTCTTTTTTTTTAGTTAGATTTTTTTTTTTTAGCTAGAGTTTTTTTTTTTTTTAAGATTTTTTTAGTTAGATTTTTTTTTTTTAAGATTTTTTTTTTAGTTGAATTTTTTTTTTTTGCTAGATTTTTTTTGATTTTTTTTTATTATCAGTTATAAAAAAATTTTTTTATTTTTAAGTTTTTTTGTGTAAAAATTTTTTTATTCATGCTCCCTTATAATAAAATGGTTTATGAAGTTAGTACATATACAATGTATAGATTGGGGTTTAGAGAATATAGGTAGTAATATCAACTTTTGCGAAGAAAACTTTGTATCAATGCACAGTAGACATTTCATATGTTAATTTTTGGGTTAAGCGTTGCACATTGAAATTTAATTGGTCATAGAATTTTTTAGAATAGTATGTAGTGGTAGCCTAAAATTTTCTTAATCATTTAACTGTTTAATTCGGCTAGCATTAAGATAATCCTGACCTATAATCAACATAGTTCAGCCCGGCATTATAGAAAAATTTTTATACAGTTAAACGATTTCAATTTCTAGTACCAACCAAAACCAAAAAATTTTTAGATTAGTTTCACTATAGCACTAGCACTAGTGAATCAAATTTCTGCTAGATAGCATATATTACACGAGATTCAGAAATTACAGGAATGGCATCACATATCACATGATACAATCTGCATAATCAAGTCACACAGATCTCACCATAATCTAATCTCATCATAATCTGCGACAATAATTTTATTTGTATAATAGAAAATTATTTTTTATTATCTTATAATATACTAAAAGTAAAGAATAATATAATATCTAAAATATTACTAATATACTTAAAAAAAAAAAATACTAGATATAATAATTGTTCTACTTATATCAATTATTGTAAAAAAAATTACATAAATACAGATTTACTAAATATTAAATAAAATAAATTGTTACAAAAGTGATGCTTAAGCATAATTATTTCTTGGTAGTTAAATGAAATTGTA